CCCCAAAACCCCAAAACCCCAAAACCCCGTGCATATTAGATTATAGCATTAAAATGAATTTCATTATAATTAATTGATTTTATAAATAATTATGAAGCATTAGATTGTTCTTTGGAAGAGCTTGCAGAATCCAAAAGGATGGAGTTAATAGAAGTTTATGCTTATCTAGCAAATCTAATCCTATCTCATTGAGATATTCAAACTCTACACCTCTACAGAGTAACCGATTCTTAAAGAAGCCTTTATAATTGATAAGATCTCATAGTTCAAAAAGCATTTTCTCAGGAAAAATAAGCAGCCCTATGGAGAAAATGAAGATTTGAGTAAAGTTATAGTTGGGACACTTTATGGGGCTAAATTCTTTGAGAAAGAAATTTAATCTTAATCGTGGTCTATAAATTTAGACAAGGCATTGGTATGGGAATAGAATATGCTTACAAAGCTAGAAAATAAATCTAAATTATTGGAATGTCAGAATTAGTACATGAATATTCATGATTGCATAGACCCCTCCTACTTCTTAGCTAGCAGTAATGATAAACTAGAACAATCTGAAGACATAAATGCCTAAAATGATCATAATAATTAAAGTGATTTTAACAATAAAAGCACTCCTGCTTAAAAGAATCTAGGAGATAAATTGCTAGGAAAACGAAAAAATATGGACTTGATTTCATAATTTGAGGATGTAAGAAAAAGATCTTAAAAGTATTAAATTGTTCAAGATCCAATTGATAAAGTAAAATAAATAGTTAATCAGTCAAAAGAGGAACTTGCTAAAAATGATAGTGTAGAGTATGTTATTGGAATGTAGCACTCATTTATGCTTTTGAAAGATATTATCAAACAAGCCCTTAAACATCAAGAAACTAAACTCTTGAATACTTTTAATCGAGATATTTCTAATTCTAAAATCAATTGATAAGCGCTATATTGAAATAATCTCTATCAAATTTTTTACTCTTTACTTAAGGGGTTTTGGGGTTTTGGGGTTTTGGGG